ACAATTCCCATAGGAACTGTGATTGCTCAGCAGTTCCATAAATTTTCCCCATATCTGTATTTTCCAAGTTACATGTTATGTCTATTACTTCTCCTATTCTCTGCTTCTTCTATAATTATCTGAAGGCCTGAATCTCAGTTCCATGAAGGCTCTTTTAGGCCACTCTGACAGTGTTCCAGTCCCCAAATCATTTTTGTTGCCCTCTGTTGGACGTTTTCCAATTTTTCCACATCCTTCCTGTAGTGTGGGGCCCAAAACTGGACACAGTACTCCAGATGAGGTCTCACCAATGTTGAATAGAGTGGAACGATCACGTCCCTCGATCTGCTGGCAATGCCCCTACTCATACATCCCAAAATGCCATTGGCCTTCTTGGCAACAAGGGCACACTGTTGACTCATATCCAGCTTCTCGTCCACTGTAACCCCTTGGTCCTTTTCTGCAGAACTGCTACCGAGCCATTCGGTCCCTAGTCTGTTGCAGTGCATGGGATTCTTCAGTCCTAAGTGCAAGACTCTGCACTTGTCCTTGTTGAACCTCATCAGATTTTTTTTGGCCCAATCCTCTACTTTCTCTAGGGCCCTCTGTATCCTATCCCTACCCTCCAGAGTATCTACCACTCCTCCCAGTTTAGTGTCATCTGCAAACTTGCTGAGCGTGCAATCCACACCATCCTCCAGATCATTAATGAAGAATTGAACAAAACCGGCCCGAGGACCGACCCTTGGGGCACTCCACTTGATACCAGTTGCCAGCTAGACATGGAGCCATTGATCACTACCCGTTGAGCCTGACAATCTAGCCAGCTTTCTATCCACCTTATCGTCCATTCATCCAGCCCATACTTCTTTAACTTACTGGCAAGAATACTGTGGGAGACAGTGTCAAAAGCTTTGCTAAAGTCAAGGAACAACACGTCCACTGCTTTTCCCTCATCCACAGAGCCAGTTATCTCATCATAGAAGGCAATTAGATTAGTCAGGCGTGACTTTCCCTTGGTGAATCCATGCTGACTGTTCCTGATCACTTTCCTCTCCTCTAAGTGCTTCAGAATTGATTCCTTGAGGACCTGCTCCATGATTTTTCCAGGGACTGAGGTGAGGCTGACTGGCCTGTAGTTCCCAGGATCCTCCTTCTTCCCTTTTTTAAAGTTGGGCACTATATTAGCCTTTTTCCAGTCGTCCGGGACCTCCCTCAATCACCATGAGTTTTCAAAGATAATGGCCAATGGCTCTGCAATCACATCCGCCAACTCCTTTAGCACTCTCGGATGCAGCACATCTAGCCCCGTGGACTTGTGCTCATCCAGCTTTTCTAAATAGTCCCGAACCACTTCTTTCTTCACAGAGGGCTGGTCACCTCCTCCCCATGCTTTGCTGCCCAGTGCAGCAGTCTGGGAGCTGACCTTGTTCGTGAAGACAGAGGCAAAAAAAGCATTGAGTACATTAGCTTTTTCCACATCCTCTGTCACTAGGTTGCCTCCCTCATTCAGTAAGGGGCCCACACTTTCCTTGACTTTCTTCTTGTTGCTAACATACCTGTATGTTGCTAACATACATGTTGTACTTTGTCTCATTTGACCCTGACTGGAATGAAACAAATACATTAAAATGGTAGCAAACAAGATGTGATTGTCAAACTGTACAGCTGCACTGAAAAAAGAACATCTGCTGTGAAATGCATCACCTTGGAGCAGGTGATTTGTCACAGACCTTCTTGAAACCCTGGAAATAGATTCTTTCTTGTCAGCATTCTTTCTGTCTGTTCCTGTATATTCCCCTTCTTTGTTCACATTAAAATGATTCTGCATTATAATATCAGCCTTCTGGTTTTCCTTTCGGCTCCATTCCTTATTTACCAGTCACTGCGGCCCAGATTCCCAGAAATACATACCTATTGCCTAACACCGATTGAAATAAGTGGGAATGCTACACGTTTGTGAATCTGGTCCAGTGGGTAAAAATTTACTCTTTTTCAGGGAGACAGGGCATGTGCATTACTTAAGTCCCACTCGAGCCCTGTACTGAGATGAGAATCAGGTCAGGCAAGAGTCTATAAATCATAAAAGCGGGATTACCTCTGTGCTACTTTCTTTGTACCAACTAACCCAAATAGGGTGTTTGGACATTCCTTTTTATTCAGAAGATCTCGACATATTCAGCCATAGATTAATGCCTAATAACAGCCACTCAGTATGTTCTAGATGGGCAATGTCAGCAGGTAAATCATTCCTCCTACTCATCCTCTACTCCTGAGGTTAGAGGGCAGCCTGGTGTCTTCCCCACCAAGGTGATCCAATCTCTCAACATTTTTAATTGAAAGTGTTTCAGACTTAAGTTTCAGAAATCTTAAGCATCTCTGGGCTTTGGCTGTATATAAAAGGGGTGGGCCACCCTACACACCCCATATCAGTCAGATGTATCACTGCCAGTGAACCCCACATTATGTCCCTCCAACTGGGTGTCAACCAATCCATTTTGTTATGGTCATGTCTAGTGGGCAGAGCAGGCATACAGGTTGGCGAACGAAGTCAACGGTCAGCACCAGAGTCAGCGGCCAGTTACCAGAGCCGGGGTCAAGCCAGACTCAGAACCAGGAATTGAAGCTGAGGGCTAAGAGCCAAGGTCAGATGCCAAATGCCAGAGCCAAGGGTCAAGCCAGAGTCAGGGTCAGAAGTCAAGGGCTGGAGTCACAGACAGGAGTGATCACTGAGGATTGTAGCTGGGGCATAAGGGCAGGAGGAGAGGCAAGGGTCAATCACAGTGGGAACAGGAGTGAAGGTGGGGGTGATATAGGAGCCAGGAGCAGAGCTGGACCCAGGTTGGGTGCAGGAGGAGGCACAATAGGAAACCAACTGGTTACTTGGACAAACTTCTTGTTTCTCCTCCTGGCTTAAACAGTGTAGTTGGACCAATTGGTGGAGCCAGTCAATCCTCCAATCTGAGTGTGGTGCCTTAGCTGGGGCTATAGCCCTAGCAGCTTCTCTGCCTACCCACATTCGGTTGAGGCCAGGATATGGCAGCTGTTGGTCTAGTGGATAGGGGAGAAGCAATACACATAATACATCTTGATTTTGGTAAGGCTTTCAACACAGTTCCACATGACATTCTCATAAGCCAACTAGGGAGATGTCATCTAGATGACTTTACTATAAGATGAACAACTGATTGAAAGACCAGGAGAATGGATGAAGCTGACAACTGGTGTGATCCAGTCTAGCAATTCCTACATTCTTATGAGCAAAAATGCCCATTGAAGATGCTTCTCCTCAGATAGTGTAATTTAGTGTCGCTCCATGAAAGACAGTGGACCTGAGCCAATTTACCCCAGCTGAGGATCTAGTCCTTATTGATTTATTTGGAGAAAACAAAAGTTTCTGTTCATTCATCAGCAAGTATTGGTGACTCACAAGGTTTGGAAAACCAAAGAGCCACACTCTGATACCGGACAGAACCGGTTTGCCATGCAGAGGTTAAATCTTCAAAGGAAAGGAAATGATCAGTGTCATAAATAAAGGGAAGGGTAAACCCCTTTGAAATCCCTCCTGGCCAGGGGAAAGCTCCTCTCACCTGTAAAGGGTTAAGAAGCTAAAGGTAACCTTGCTGGCACCTGACCAAAATGACCAATGAGGAGACAAGATACTTTCAAAAGCTGGGAGGAGGGAGAGAAACAAAGGGTCTGTGTGTCTGTCTATATGCTGGTCTTTACCGGGGATAGACCAGGAATGGAGTTTTAGAACTTTTAGTAAGTAATCTAGCTAGGTATGTGTTAGATTATGATTTCTTTAAATGGCTGAGAAAAGAATTGTGCTGAATAGAATAACTATTTCTGTCTGTGTATCTTTTTTGTAACTTAAGGTTTTGCCTAGAGGGGTTCTCTATGTTTTTGAATCTAATTACCCTGTAAGATATCTACCATCCTGATTTTACAGGGGGGGATTTCTTTATTTCTATTTACTTCTATTTTTATTAAAAGTCTTCTTTTAAGAAACTGAATGCTTTTTCATTGTTCTCAGATCCAAGGGTTTGGGTCTGTGGTCACCTATGCAAATTGGTGAAGCTTTTTTATCCAACATTTCCCAGGAAAGGGGGGGTGCAAGTGTTGGGAGGATTGTTCATTGTTCTTAAGATCCAAGGGTCTGGGTCTGTAGTCACCTAGGCAAATTGGTGAGGCTTTTTACCAAACCTTATCCAGGAAGTGGGGTGCAAGGTTTTTGGGAAGTATTTTGGGGGGAAAGACGCGTCCAAACAGCTCTTCCCCAGTAACCAGTATTAGTTTGGTGGTGGTAGCGGCCAATCCAAGGACAACGGGGGGGAATATTTTGTACCTTGGGGAAGTTTTGACCTAAGCTGGTAAAGATAAGCTTAGGAGGTTTTTCATGCAGGTCCCCACATCTGTACCCTAGAGTTCAGAGTGGGGGAAGAACCTTGACAATCAGCATTATCCCAGACATGTTCTCTATGAGAAATGTTTTAAATGGACACAGAATCCCAGCTGTCCATCATGGAAATAGTTACACTTATTCCAGTCAGTGTTTGTCATATAAAGTAATTGAGAAAGGTTCAAAGCGGCCAATTGGAAGGGAAGTTCAGTGAAAATGGGTGTTAGGGGGCTTATTCCTTCACCCACTTACTTCCCTGGTCCTTCTCGCATGAACAGAGAGCAACAATACCCGACGTCCAAAGGTGCAAACAATTTGATGTTTATTGGGGTGAACTTCCAGCAAGCATGATTCCAGTTTCCTTCCTTAGTGTCCCCCTTCCCAGCTCTGACACCACAGAGCCTTACACCTGTGTCCCTGTTCCCATTCCTGCCCTTAGCCAAACGTGATTCCAATTTCCTTACCCCCATTCCCTGTTCCCATTTCCCCCTTTAGCAAAACATGATTCCAATTTCCCCACCCCATTCACTGTTCCCATTTCCCCTCCCCTCCCCACACCCACCCACACACCCACTTCCTGATTGACTGCAGACTATATAGTAAAACTTGAGTTCTGCTTAGCTATACATTAACCAATCATTTTCCTGAAATTTAACTAACCAGTCCTAACGTATTGTAACATGACTATGTAACCAATTATATCCCACCACCTTAAGTAGTTTACACCCAGCAAAATTAATTATACAGCAGACAGGAACAATCACAGAACCAGACAGAGATTATACAGACAAACAATAGCAAAGTGGGAACTATAATGACAAAACAGTACAGAAGTGAGGATTTCACATCCCAGCTATCGATAAGTGAGTTCTTGCCAGACAGGATGCTATCAAACTAAGTTTCCTTTTACATTTTCTAGGCACTTCCCTTTCTCTGGAGGCGACAGGCACTATCAGGACAGGATTGTATTCCTAACAGCCCAATAGCACCTTATTTCAATGTGACTAGGTTGGAATGTGAGGAGGTGACCGGTCGCTTCCCAGCTTATGGCTGCCTCTGCTGCTTAGCCAAAGGCCTTAGCCTAAGAACAGGGCCTCAGACTGTCACAGTGAGAGAAGGACCTTAGACCGGCAGACAGTGATTTTGATTCTTTCTTTTATATCTCTATATAGTTATCTCTATAACTAGCCAAGTGATAAGAATACACCTAAATTCTTCGAGTACAAGCCTTTACCGACAGGCCTGAATATCTATATCCTAACAATGGGTAAGAGGCATAGAAAGAGGAAATAGGAAGAAATACATAGCCATGAACATAGGGACTAAATCCATTCCTCCTCTCTCTCTTCGACAGACCATCACCGATTGTCGAAACCATCCCAGGACCAATTCTTAGCAATTTCCTTCAGCAGAGTGAAGTGGGAGCCGTAGGAGCACCTGTGGTCGGAGCGGGTTATGACGGCTCATTCGGTTTGTGGGGATTGTACGGCTCTGGAGACCGTTACAGAGGATTGTATGGTTACGGGGGATTAGGTGGTTATGGGGGCCATTACTGTTATGGGGGATTGAGTGGTTATGGGGGAGGTTACAGTTATGGGGGACTATGAAATTACCCAGGGCGTTATGGTTATGGGGAAATATGTGGTTCTGGGGTATCTTGCCATAGGTACCTCAGTGGAAGCCGTGCACCATATAAAACCCAGTAGGAATATCTGTTGGAAAAGAAAAGACAAGGAAGTGAACAGCAGGCTACCGACTCACAGCTGACCTTTAGAGCATGGATTTCAGAAGCGCTGTGCAGGCATGGCTCCACTTGAATTCAACGCGAGCTGTGTCTGCTCCGCGCCTTTGTCTCCTAGACCCATTTCTAACGTTACGTTTTATGACTCTTTCTGCCAATGCTTTCCCAACCGCGTGCTTAGTCTCTCAGTCACATGTGGACTCATTCTGAATTACACTCAGGCTGTTTGTACTGACCCCGCAGGGTGAAGGAATCAGGGGCCTTAACAGAGGCATCAGTTACATTTATTATCATTTTAAATCCCTTTGCAGGGGAAAGGATCACTAACACATCATCAGAATGGTTACAGAGAGAGTGAGTCAAATAGGACTTGTCTAATTCACCTAGGAGAATAAGATAAAGTAATTAGAAGATCACTGAGCCATGAGTGCTTTTATACAGTTCTGTAGACTCACTGGAGGACTTGAGAGGCCCTGTGTTCCTGAAGGTCTAAATAGTTACAAATCAATCTTTGCATAACTCCTTCAATTGATGTAGTTTTTTTCCTCCGTGTTTTTGACAATTAGTTTGTTCCTAACTCCACATGGTGTGACATGCTCATTACACCCTGCAACTCTCTTTCATCTTACAACTTTATGGGCCAGCTACATTCCTGCTTTCATTCTACTGACTTCATTGATGCTGCAATGGGATATTTGGAAGCCTAGAATAGTAAAGTGTCCAATGTAGTTGACGAGCCATGGTGAGCATGTGGCCTTACTAATCACTGTTACTGGATTTTACTTCAGATTCTGCCACCTGCTCCCTGTGTATCCTACACCTCAATTGCTTGTTCACCTCCACATAAATCTGATCTAATATTGACATTATGCTCAATGATCATAGCCTTCCTCAAATCAAAGAACTTCAAAGCACTTCAGGCTCATTAATGTTGTATGTGTCCACAGTGTTGTATTATTTTAATAGCAGAATTTTTGTACTGGTATTAGATGCCTCCAGATTGTGGGTTAGATTAATTTTACAAATGCTTGTTAAGGTTTCGGATGTCATTCCAATAGTCAGCTCATGACTCTTAGCTTTCAAATTAGGGGCTCTTTGATTTTCATTCAAAAAAGCTTTTCATTTCCCTTTCTTTACCAAACATTCCTTTGTAAACCTCAAGGGGCAGATGCTGAGCCAGGATACATCAGCGCAGTTCTATAAATTTCTATGACATTCTGTGTCTTAAAACTGAGCGGAGAAATTGACACTGCTCAGGTAGAAGAAATCCTGTCAGGGGTATATTTTCCATTTTCAAACATTCTAATTATAGATGAAAATCTTACTGTGGAGAAGGGTCTGGCAGAATGCCCTTGGTTGGCCAGATTTAGAATGAATCCAATCTCCTCTCACAGCAATTTGACCACCGAAGAAGTACTCCTTAACTCTGCCTGTTTTACGCGTCTTCCTTTTCTTTACAAGCTGAATTCTCTTACAGGACCCAATTCTCTTGGCTGCTCATGAACAGAGATACAGTAGCTGATGTTTCCCACTCATTTCACTGTACATTGGATCTGAGCAGCTGCGGTTGAAAGTGCCCAGTATGCTCAGACAGATACACTCCACACAGGGTTTTCTCTAAGCTAGCCTGGATAAAGTGCCTTTCTTCAGTTTGAAGCTGATGGAGCTATGCTGGTACACACTGGTTCAACATCCACCCTTAAACTGTAAAATAGATATAAAAGGGAAATGCAAAGGTGCATTGAATGAAAATGAAAGAGTCCAATTTCAGAGTCTGAGAATCACAAATGAGTACTGGAATGACATCTGAGACCTTGACATACATTTTAAAAGCGAATCTAATCTTTAGTATTGGAACATCTAATCCAAGTAAATGTTATTACTACTATAATAATACATCACTTTGGCCGTATAAAACTTGACGAGTGGTGGTGAAGTGCTTTGAAATGCTTAGATCAGAGGAAGCCTCAGACAATCCATTTTGAAAGCTATTATTATACCTGTTTGCCACAGAGGTGAACGAAGGTCAGACAGGGAGTGATTGGGAGAGTCAAAAAAAGACGACAACAGTTGGGACTCTTCATGCCAAAAATTTACTCCAGCTCTTGAACCCCACTGGACACTTACCGTTCATGGCTTCCAGCTATGTCACTCACCTGAGAGTAACTCTTAGAAAGGCTCATTCTCGAATTTTTCTTAGTTTGTTCTCATGATTTTTGGGGGAATTTTTCCGTGAAACATCTTCTGATCTAAATGTGAAACATAATAAAAAATCAAGGGTTTTGCAATCCACTTTATTTGAAGGTGGTGGGTATTTACATTTGAGTAGATTTTAATTATCTCGTACCAAACTGAAGTGAATTGAATTATCTGGTACCACATCTGAATTAAATGTGGAGAGTTTTATTCCTGTACAACACATGAACAAGCTTGAAATGTACACACTTGTAATTTCTTTGGACAATTACTATCCTCATGGATAGAGAAGGCGATGTCAAAGAGACGACCCACCCTGTACCTCGTTTCACAAAGCTGAAAGAATTCATCACCATTGGGTCACGATGACCCGTTCGAGACGTGTGTTTCCAAGGAAAGAAAAAATAGCACACACAGTGCAGTTGGTGACTTCATCCCAATGGGTGACATGCCTTAAAGCAAGTTTTTGAAGCTTGAATTATATAATGTGATTTATAATGCTAACATACTCATGGGAAAGAAATTGAGAGACTTTTAATTCCTTTGGAGAAGTGCTGTATTAATGTATAAAGGAGAGACAGTTAAAGTGGACCAAAATTAGCCAGTTTTTTTTTTAATCATTGATGCTTAGTTCCATGGATGCACACATTTTTTAACAAGACATACTAACCTTGTCTTCTAAAAGAGTGCCACAGGGATGGAGCACGTGCTTAGCCCGTGGCAGGAGGAGTCAGAAGTATTGGATTATATTTCTGTTTCTGCAACTCACACCCGTGCAACCTTCACCTCAATGTGCTTCTTTTTTCTCTACCTAGAAATCAGGAATAGTAAGGATGTTAGGACTGGAAATTGTTCAGCGTTCTTAGAACTCAAGATTTCAAAGCACCTAAGAACAGTCATTGGTGTTTTATAAATGCAAAGAGATGTATCCTTAGAATATTATTAAATTGTTTTGGGATTAGAAGCCTCTGCATTGACTAGTAGAGTCACCTGAAAAAAAAAATAGAGGCCAAGGTTTCTTGTGTTATTCCTTTAATCAGGTCATGATTCAAAGCCAAAGAATTTGGGGATATTGCATTTTCATTCAAATGTAATTTTGCATTTGGTATTTTTTAAAATTATTATATAGGAAAATGAAGATGCTCTCATGGTGGAAATCAGCACAGTTGCTTCAACTTCAAAGCAAGTCCTTGCGAAAACGTTCTTTGAAAGTTTAAGGTAACCTGACTGCTCTAACCTGAGCAGTGTCAATGCCTTCATTTAATCACTGTAGGTTGAAATTCACTCCTGGGCAGAGGGTCATCACAAAGGCTTGTACTATACCTAAGTCCATGCTAAGACGTAGTTTGAAAGTTTAAAGCAGAACTAAAGTTGTCCATAGGCATTGTTCGATCCCCCCGCCAAAGGGTGAATTTGAGACTTAAGGTCATGACAGGAAACGCACTGAAGGCAAAGGAATATTTCCAACTGATTACAAAGGGAATTGGATCTGAGATGGGGATGGAGGTTGTGAGAATGCAGAAAAATAGCTCTCTGCTTCCAAGCAGGTTTATAATGAAATGTCCAGTGCCCCTGAGAATGACCAGTATGAACAGAAAGGACCAAAGGGGAGATCTGCTCAGGACAGCCAGTTGTGCTACTGATGCAGCTCTGAATCACCTTGACATGCATTCTCATTGCACCACCAAGAGAGTCACTGGAATGACACAAGCAATGCAGACTGCAACGTGCATTATTAGGATTAGTCCAATAATCCCAAACCCTGAGAAAACAGCAGGTTCAAAAGGAGCATTTACCGAGGCATTATACTTTGTTTGGTAGCTAGTTAGGACTTCCTGTACCAAATGCAACGCAGATCCTCCAGGCAGTCCTAAAAACTGTATAAAAGGATTCACTGCTCAGGTCTCTTCTAAACGCTTCTTTGGACTTCGTCTCCTCGGTGAACTGGGTAAGTCCAATTGGACTCAATCTCTTTCCAACACAAGAGCTGTCACAGTAGGGTCCATTTTCATTTTAAGACTAACTCTTGTACATACTCTCTGTATTTTTATTAGGGACGAGGGTGTTTCTCCATTATCGTCTTTTGTAGTTATTCACTTGCAAGTGCTGGTGGATCCATGATTCGGAGCCACAGGTGGGGATTTTAGGAGCACCATATGCAATTGGGAAACATATTTCCGATTAACTGGAAATAGAATTAGGGCATTTAAATCTTTAAAGTAATATTAGAAAGTTCCTCAGCCATTTTTCTCTGGGATAGATTAGGAAGAAACTTCGCCACCTTAGGCCATAAATGGCCAATTCAGGGGTCTTCTTTATGCTGAAGGAGCTGTGACTCCTCACTGTTGGAGCCAGGAGAATTATTAAGCTGACAACTGGTGTGATCCAATCTGGCAATTCCTACATTCTTATGAGCAGAAATGCCCACTGAAGATTCTTACACTCAGATGGTGTAATTTAGGGTCGCTCCATGGAAGTCAGTGGACCTGAACCCATTTTACCAGAGCTGAGGATCTTGTCCTTAGTGATTTCTTTGGAGAAAGGAAAAGTTTCTGTTCCTTCCTTAGCAAGTATTGGTGACTCCCAGGGTTTGGAAAACCAAAGAGCCACACTCTGACACTGGACTCAACTGGTTTGCATGCAGAGGTTGAATCCTCAAGGGAAAGGGAAAGATCAGCATTATCCCAGCCAAGTTCTCTTTGAGAAATGTCTATAACGGTCACAGGTATCCTTCAAAGAAATAATTACACTTATTCCAGGCGGTGTTTTTAGACAGGTCACTGAGAGGGCTTCAAATGGGACAATTGGGAGGTACATTTAGTGTGAGTGGATAAGAGGCAAAGAAAGAGGAAATAGGAACAAATATATAGCCAAAAAGATAGGAACTAAGTCCACTCCTCCTGTCTCTCTCGGGCCCCACGTAGACCTCACTACTACGGTAACTGAGGTTTGAGTCCTTTCTTTCACTGGCACATGTACCTTCTTTTTACTCTACTCCCTGTTGTGTGTTTCAGGTTTACCTCCATCACAGAAAGATGTCTTGTTCCAGCCTGTACTATCCAGAATGCGGGGTGGCCCGGCCCAGTCCAGTTTCTGGCAGCTTCAATGAGCCGTGCGTTAGGCAGTGCCCTGACTCCGAAATAGTGATCAGACCATCCCCAGTTGTCGTGACCATCCCAGGACCAATTCTCAGCAATTTCCCTCAGCAGAGTGAAGTGGCAGCTGTAGGAGCACCTGTGGTCGGAGCCGGCTATGGGGGTTCATTCGGTTTGGGGGGATTGTACGGGGGCTATGGAGGCCATTATGGAGGATTGTATGGTTACGGGGGATTAGGTGCTTACGGGGGCCATTATGGATTCGGGGGATTGAGTGGTTACGGGGGCCATTATGGTGGATGGTGTGGTTACGGGGGAGGTTACGGTTATGGAGGATTATCCGGTTCCGGGGTATCTTGCCATAGGTACCTGAGTGGAAGCTGTACACCATGTTAAACCCTGCAGGAATATCAATGGTAAAAGAAAAGACCAGGAAATGAAGAACAAGCTACAGATTCAGATGGAGATTTCAGAAGCGCTGTGCAGGCATGGCTCCACTTGAATTCAACGCGAGCTGTGTCTGCTCAGCACCTTTGTCTCCTAGACCCATTTCTAATGTTATGCTTATAAACTCTTTCTGCCAATGCTTTCCCAACCGCGTGCTTAGTCTCTCAGTCACATGTGGACTCATTCTGAATTACACTCAGGCTGTTTGCACTAACCCCGTAGTCTGACGGAAAGAGGGGCCTTAAGACAGGCATTAGTTGTATTTATTATCACTCGAATTTGTTTGTCCAACTCTGCACCTGCGAAAAAAGGAAAAACAACTTCTTGCCTCAAATGCATCGCAAGGAAGCGGGTGATCGGTCGCAGCCCTTCTGGAAACACGTGAAATACCTTCTTTCTGTTGTGTATTATTTCTTTCTGTAACTGTGTATTGCAAATTTCATTCTCATTAAAAACTATGCTGCATCGTAATATCGGTCTTCTGGCTTTCCTTGTTCCTCCCTCCTTGTTTAGAAATCCTGCTGCATGAAATTCACCCCTGTAGAGCAGGCAGCACCAGACACCTCTCAAGTTGCAACTTTCGAAGGCATGGAGTGGTAGGAGAGTAAAGCCCTTTAAGTGGTTCATAGCATTATGCAGGCTCTCTGCACAGGGGTGGAATTCTTCCTTGCATCATCTGTTTTGCAAAAAGTCTTTTCCTCCTAAGTCTTACACAGATTTTCACCTTAAGAATGTAAATATTTCCTTTCATTTCAAAAAGACCAATCACGTGCTTCATGGAAAGTGTCTGTGTGAGTCTTTGCTGGATAGCCACCCAGATTTTCGGAAGGAAAAGAATACTGGCCACCCCTAAAGACAAATGACATTACACCAAAGTCATTTGCAGCAGTCAGGAATCTCCTCTGTGATATGAAGAGATTAGTACACTGACCATTACTTCAGTACAAGAATCTAATGGTGTTTTAGGAAGCTGTTCCTCCTTGCACTCCATATTACCATTCTTATGTAAACCCCCCTGGCTGTACCATAGCTTGATATTGCAGGAACTGCGCAGAGCAAGTTTGCATTTTCTACTATGTTTTTCTTCAACATTTTCGTGGGTCTCAGTTCCCGGAAAATGAGGATTTTGCACTAATCAAATTTTTGATTTGACAACGCAAAAGAAAAAAATGTATCCAGACCATCCCGGCTCTTCAATGACATGATGTAATACTCACACAGTGAGGGGAGATTTAGCCATCTGCCACCGGGTGTTATTTAAGGGTAACACAGCTCTATTCTTCAACGTCATACCATACCTATTGACCCCTCCTTGGAAGGGAAGAACATAGGCATTGCTGCAGCAGATCAGGCCTCTCTCCCACAGTGGTGAGTGCCCGAGGCTTCACAGGGAGGTGCAAGAAACCCAGCAGAACACAGGCATGGGATCACCTGCCCCCAGAGGAACTTTTTCACTATCCCCCGTCAATCCGATCTGCCCCCACGGACGATTGGACGATGCCCTGAAGCACAAGAGTTTATATCCCTGCCAATCTTGAAGAAATGCAGTAAATCCATCTCAGTCACTATTTCCTCCAGAGTACTGTGAGCACCATTCTCTCTGCATCACCAAGAGAAATGTCTGAGGGCATCCCTCTCTGTAGAGATACACCAGGATCAATAACGAATTTAAAGCTGCAGCGTTAAAGGCCTGAATTGCACAGGAATACATCTTTTTGCCATTAAGCAATGAGCCTTTCACCCCCAGATCACAGCTTCATTGAGAACAAATACCCGAATTTCGCCAATCTCCCTCTCTAACATATTCTCAGTCCTTTCCCTCAGGAAAGCACAGTGGGATCTCCAGCAGCAGCTGACACTGGAGGTGGTGATGGGGGCGTATGTGGTGATAGAACCTTATTCCGTTATGGAGGCTTATGTAGTTGGGGGGTCCCTTTGGTTCTGGGACATGACATGGTTATCGGGATTCATATGGTTAGGAAAAAGAAAAGGAGGACTTGTGGCACCTTAGAGACTAACCAATTTATTTGAGCATAAAAGATTCTGTGGTTACAAGGCACTTTATGGTTGTGGGAGGAATATAGTGTTGCGGGGATGGTGATGGGGCCATGGGTACCTTAATGGAAACAGTGGGCTCTGTTAAACCCAGTAGGCATATGCAAAGAAAAAGGAAGAACCAGGAAATGAACAGCAAGATACAGATTGATGGTTTAGCGCATAGGCCTGTCTTTGAGAAGTCCTGAGTACATCGAACTCTTTGTGAAATAACAAAAGAGCTCCACTTGATCAGCACCTCTGCAAACATGCCGAATGTTTCCCATCATTCACAGGATGGGTCTTCTAATGCCTTCCTGGCTATGCGCTTCCACTGTTATCAACACAGTGGGCCTGATTCTCTACTGCGCTATGGGTTTTTACACCACTCTGTAAAGTGCAAAGGCAGCAGGGCCTTAAGGTGTATGGGACCGACATTTGTAGTGACTTTCCTGCCTCTTTCCAATGCCAGAGGAGTGTCACAAGACTTTAGTGTCAAGGAGAATCAGGCTAGGTTCTCTCCTATCCAGGAATAAGGAGCGTTTCTTTAAGCCTTTTAACTTTCTAACAGCAGCTGCACAACGTAGAAACTTTTTGATCTTCAGCTTTTGTTGTGTTTTCGTTACCTTGTGACAGACCAGGGTGAAACAAGGAATTAACAATGGTGGCAAACAGACTTGATTGTCAAACTCTACAGCTGTGATCTTTTAATATCTCGAAAAGCTTCCACATCGCTATGAACCACTTAAAGGGCTTTAATCTCCTACCACTCCATGCCTTCGAAAGTTGCAACTTGAGAGGTGTCTGGTGCTGCCTGCTCTACAGGGATGAATCTCATGCAGCAGGATTTCTAAACAAGGAGGGAGGAACAAGGAAAGCCAGAAGACCGATATTACGATGCAGCATAGTTTTTAATGAGAATGAAATTTGCAATACACAGTTACAGATAGAAATAATACACAAGAGAAAGAAGGTATTTCACGTGTTTCCAGAGGGGCTGTGACTGATCACCCGCTTCCTTGCGATGCATTTGAGGCGAGATGTTGTTTTTCCTTTTTCGCAGGTGCAGAGTTGGACAAACAAATTAAAGCGATAATAAATACAACTGATGCCTGTTTTAAGGCCCCTGTTTCCTTCACACTGAGGGGTAAGTGCAAACAGCCTGAGTGTAATCCAGAATGAGTCCACATGTGACTGAGAGACTAAGCACGCGGTTGGGAAAGCATTGGCAGAAAGAGTTTATAAGCATAACATTAGAAATGGGTCTAGGAGACAAAGGCGCTGAGCAGACACAGCTCGCGTTGAATTCAAGTGGAGCCATGCCTGCACAGCGCTTCTGAAATCTCCATCTGAATCTGTAGCTTGTTCTTCATTTCCTGGTCTTTTTTTTTACCATTGATATTCCTGCAAGGTTTAACATGGTGTACAGCTTCCACTCAGGTACCTATGGCAAGATACCCCGGAACCGGATAATCCTCCATAACCGTAACCTCCCCCGTAACCACACAGTCCACCATAACGGCCCCCATAACCGCACAGTCCGCCATAAGGGCCCCCGTAACCACACAATCCCCCGAAACCACCCCCATAACCATACAATCCCCCGTAACCGCACAGTCCACCATAACGGCCCCCGTAACTACTCAATCCCCCGTAACCATAACGGCCCCCATAAGCACCTAATCCCCCGTAACCATACAATCCTCCGTAACGGCCTCCATAAGCACCTAATCCCCCGTAACCATACAATCCTCCGTAACGGCCTCCATAGCCCCCGTACAATCCCCCCACACCGAATGAACCCCCGTAGCCGGCTCCGACCACAGGTGCTCCTACAGCTGCCACTTCACTCTGCTGAGGGAAAGTGCTGAGAATTGGTCCCGGGATGGTCACGACAACGGGTGATGGTCTGATGACCACTTCAGAGTCAGGGCACTGCCTAACACATGGCTCGTTCCAGCTGCCAGAAACTGGACTGGGCTGGGCCACCCCGCATTCTGGATAGCACAGGCTGGAGCAAGACATCTTTCTGTGTGCAAACCTGAAACACACAACAAAACATAAGAAGATAAGAATGGCCATACTGGGTCAGATCAAAGGTCCATCAAGCCCAGTATCCTGTCCTCTGACAGTGGCCAATGGCAGGTGCCCCAAAGGGAAAGACCAGGTTATCATCAAGTGATCCATGCCCTGTCACCCAATCCCAGCTTCTGGAAAACAGAGGACACCACTCCTGCCCATCCTGGCTCATAGCCATTGATGGACCTATCTTTCATGAATCTATCTAGCTCCCTCTTGAACCCCATTATAGTACTGGCCTTCACAACAGCCTCTGGCAAGGAGTTCCAGAGGTTGACAGGGAATAGAGTAAAGAAAAGGTACTAGTGTCAGTGGAAGAAAAGACTCAAAACTCGGTTACTCTTGCAGTGATGTCGCTGTGGGGCCCAAGAGAGAGAAGGAGTGGATTTAGTCCCTATGTTTGTGGCTGCGTATTGGTCCCTATTTCCTCTTTCTATGCCTCTTATCCACTCACAGTAAACTTCCCTCCCAACAGGCCCATTTGAACCCTTCTCAATGACTTTGTCTGAAAAACCAGTAAGAGTAACTATTTCATTGACGGACCCCCGGGATTCGGTGTCCATTATAGACATTGCTCAAAGAGAACATGGCTGGGATACTGCTGTCATTGGCTTTCCTTTGAAGATTCAAGCTCTGCATTCAAACCAGTTGAGTCCAGTGCTAGAATGTGGCTCTTTGGCTTTCTAAACCTTGGGAGTCACGAATACTTGCGGATGAATAAACAGAAACTTTTCTTTTCTTCAAATAAATCACTAAGGACAAGATCCTCAGCTCTGGTAAAATGGGTTCAGGTCCACTGACTTCTATGGAGCGACAATAAATTATACCATCTGAGTATAAGAATCTTCAATGGGTATTTCTCCTCATAAGAACATTGGAATTGCTAGACTGGATCACACCAGTTGTCAGCTTAATAATTCTCCTGCCTCCAATAGTGAGGAGTAACGGCTACTTCCAAATAAAGTAGAAGACCCCTAAATTGGCCATGTATGGAATAAACTGGGAAAGTTTCTTCCTAATCTAGCCAAGCAAAAAATGGCTAAGAAACTTTCTAAAATTACTTTAGGAAGATTTAAATGCCCGAAATCAATTTCCAGTTATTAGGAAATATGTTTCTCAGTTGCATTTGGTGCTCCTAAAATCCCCACCTTTGGCTTCAAATCATGGATCCACCACAACCAGCTACTGATTATCTACACAAGATAATTATGTATGGAACAACGCTCTAATCCCTGATAAAAATCACAGAGCGTACATGCAAGATTCAGTCTTAAATGGAAATGGATCCTACTGTGACACCTCTTGATGTTAGAAAGAGTTTGATTCAAATTGGACTTACCCAGTTGACCGAGGAGCTGAAGTGTGGAGAAGTGTTTAGAAGGACCCTGAGTTGTGAGCGCTTTTATACAGTGTCTAGGACTGCCTGGAGGATCTGTGATGCGTTTGGTACAGGAAGTCCCATTTAGTTACCAAACAAAGTTGCATGCCTCGGTAAATCCTTCTTTTGATGGAGCTGTTTTCTCAGGGTTTGGGAGTATTGGGCTAATCTCAGCTTCAAAGGGAGTGACATGCACGTTGCAATCTGCATTCCTAGTATCATTCCAGTGACTCTCTTGGTGCTGCAATGAGCATGCATGTCAAGGTGATTCAGAATTGCATCAGTAGCACAACTGGCTGTCCTGAACAGATATCCCCTTTGGTCCTTTCAGTTCATGCAGGTCATTGTTAGGGGCATTCTACAGTTCATGATAAACTTGCCAGGAAGCAAAGATCCATTTTTCTGCTTTCTCACAAGCTCCACCCCCAACGGGTCAGATCCAATTCCCTTTGAAAACAATCGGAATCATTCCATTTCACCTTACGATGATTAAACCTTGACCTAACATAGGACCGCCACTTGTGTCACCAATGGTATCTCAAAGGGTTTCCTAGACCAGATTTACTCATGGGTCCATGGAAGGGATAGGGGGGAGTTGAAGGAAGCAGTGCTCTTTTCTAGAAAGGTTTTCAGTTAAATCATTAAATTTGTACTCTGTTAGAAACCATAGAATCATAGAATATCAGGGTTGGAAGGGACCTCAGGAGGTCATCTAGTCCAACCCCTTGCTCAAAGCAGGACCAATCCCCAACTAAATCATCCCAGCCAAGGCTTTGTCAAGCCTGACCTTAAAAATATCGAAGGAGGGAGATTCCACCACCTCCCTAGGTAACGCATTCCAGTGTTTCACCACCCTCCTAGTGAAAATGTTTTTCCTAGTATCCAACCTAAACCTCCCCCACTGCAACTTGAGACCGTTACTCCTTGTTCTGTCATCAGCTACCACTGAGAACAGTCTGGAGCCATCCTCTTTGGAACCCCCTTTCAGGTAGTTGAAAGCAGCTATCAAATCCCCCCTCATTCTTCTCTTCTGCAGACTGAACAATCCCAGTTCCCTCAGCCTCTCCTCATAAGTCATGTGTTCCACTCCCCTAATCATTTTTGTTGCCCTCCGCTGGACTCTTTCCAATTTTTCCACATCCTTCTTCTAGTGTGGGGCCCAAAACTGGACACAGTACTCCAGATGAGGCCTCACCAATGTTGACTAGAGGGGAATGATCACGTCCCTCAATCCGCTGGCAATGCCCCTACTTATACATCCCAAAATGCCATTGGCCTTCTTGGCAACAAGGGTACACCGTTGACTCATATCCAGCTTCTCGTCCACTGTAACCCCTAGGTCCTTTTTTTGCAGAACTGCTGCCGAGCCATTTGGTCCCTAGTCTGTAGCGGTGCATGGGATTCTTCCGTCCTAAGTGCAGGACTCTGCACTTGTCCTTGTTGAACCTCGTCAGATTTCTTTTTGGCCCAATCCTCTAATTTGTCTAGGGCCCTCTGTATCCTATCCCTACCCTCCAGCGTACCTACCGCTTCTCCCAGTTTAGTGTCATCTGCAAACTTGCTGAGGGTGCAATCCGCACCGTCCTCCAGATCATTTATGAAGATAGTGAACAAAACCGGCCCCAGGACCGACCCTTGAGGCACTCGACTTGATACTGGCTGCCAACTAGACATGGAGCCATTGATCTCTACCTGTTGAGCCCGACAATCTAGCCAGCTTTCTATCCACCTGATAGTCCATTCATCCAGCCCATACTTCTTTAACTTGCTGGCAAGAATACTGTGGGAGACCGTGTCAAAAGCTTTGCTAAAGTCAAGGAACAACACGTCCACCGCTTTCCCCTCATCCACAGAGCCAGTTATCTCGTCATAGAAGGCAATTAGATTAGTCAGGCATGACTTGCCCTTGGTGAAACCATGCTTACTGTTCCTGATCACCTTCCTCTCCTCTAAGTGCTTCAGAATTGATTCCTTGAGGACCTGCTCCATGATTTTTCCAGGGACTGAGGTGAGGCTGACTGGCCTGTAGTTCCATCTCTCTATGACTGAGCTGACAAGAAACTGAGGTCTTGCAAGATAATGGACTGACTAAGCCCTGGAAGAAGCCCAGGAGAGATGGAAATCATGGATTATGGGTGAAGGAGGAAAGGGCTTTTGGCTGTGATTTGACATAGAGTCCCACCAGCCACAGGTTATGTTGCATAAAACATTCCTGCAAGAACCAGAATGTTGTTTTAAGTGTAAAATATATCTCTAGGAGTGCATTCTATATCCAGGGAAGAAGGCAGAAATGTCCTCCTTTGACTTTAAGGCCCTACACCTCTTTCAGTTTGAAGCAACTCTGCGGATTAACGCCAAGGGAGCCCCTTCGTTTTCCTATAAATACACCAAATGCAAAATTACATTCGAATGAAAATGAAATATCCCCAAATTCTTTGGCTTTGAATCACGACCTGATTAAAGGAATGACATGAGAGCCCGTGGCCTCTATTTTTTTTTTTTAAGTGACTCTATTACTCATTGCAGAGGCGTCTAATCCCAGGAACAATTTATTAATCTTCTAAGAATACAACCCTTTTTATGTGTGAAACACCAATACGTGTTTGTCAGGTGCTTTGGAATCTTGAGTTGTGAGAACGCCGAAAAACTTCCACCCGTAACAACCTTACTATCCTTGGTTTTTTTGGCATAGAACAAGAGGCACGTGCAGGTGAAGGTCACACGGGGGTCTGTTCCAGAAACAGAAATACAACCCAATAGTTCTGACTCCTCGTAACACAGAGTAAGTTCGAGGTTCACCCCTGTTACACGCTGTTACAAGGCGACATTAGTAATATCTCTTGCTAAAAAATGTGTGCATCCTTGGATCTAAGCATCAACAGTGAAAAAAAGACTAACGTTTGATACACTTTAATTGTTTCTTCTTTACACTTGAGGACAACACTTCTCCAAAGGAATTACAAGTCTCGCAATTTCTATCTTTTCCTTGGCGGTGGTAGCATTGCAAATCATAGTATATCATTCAAGCATCAAAAACTCGCTATCTAAGGAACTTGGGCAGTGAATTTCAACCTACAGTGATTAAATGAAGGGATTGACACTGCTCAGGTTAGAAGAAGTGGCATTGGGGGTGTATTTTCTACTTTACAGATCATTCCAACTACGGCTGAAAAGCTTTCTGCAGAATGCCCTAAACGTATCTTCCAAAAAAAGGGTGTCACAGGGATGGAGCACGTGCTTAGCCCGTGGTAGGAGGAGTCAGAAGTATTGGGCTGTATTTCTGTTTCTGCAACTCATACCCGTGCAACCTTCACCTCAATGTGCTTCTTTTTTCTCTACCTAGAAATCAGGGATAGTGAGGATGTTCAGACTGGAAATTGTTCAGCGTTCTTTGAACTGAAGATTTCAAAGCACCGAAGAACACTCATTGGTGTTTCATAAATGCAAAGAGTTGTATTCTGAGACTATTATTAAATTGTTTTGGGATTAGAAGCCTCTGCATTCACTAATAGAGTCACTTGAAAAAAATAGAGGCCAAGGTTTCTTGTGTTATTCCTTTAATCAGGTCATGATTCAAAGCCAAAGAATTTGGGGATATTGCATTTTCATTCAAATGTAATTTTGCATTTGGTATTTTTTAAAATTATTATATAGGAAAATGAAGATGCTCTCATGGTGGAAATCAGCACAGTTGCTTCAACTTCAAAGCAAGTCCTTGCGAAAACGTTCTTTGAAAGTTTAAGGTAACCTGACTGCTCTAACCTGAGCAGTGTCAATGCCTTCATTTAATCACTGTAGGTTGAAATTCACTCCTGGGCAGAGGGTCATCACAAAGGCTTGTACTATACCTAAGTCCATGCTAAGACGTAGTTTGAAAGTTTAAAGCAGAACTAAAGTTGTCCATAGGCATTGTTCGATCCCCCCGCCAAAGGGTGAATTTGAGACTTAAGGTCATGACAGGAAACGCACTGAAGGCAAAGGAATATTTCCAACTGATTACAAAGGGAATTGGATCTGAGATGGGGATGGAGGTTGTGAGAATGCAGAAAAATAGCTCTCTGCTTCCAAGCAGGTTTATAATGAAATGTCCAGTGCCCCTAAGAATGACCAGTATGAACAGAAAGGACCAAAGGGGAGATCTGCTCAGGACAGCCAGTTGTGCTACTGATGCAGCTCTGAATCACCTTGACATGCATTCTCATTGCACCACCAAGAGAGTCACTGGAATGACACAAGCAATGCAGACTGCAACGTGCATTATTAGGATTAGTCCAATAATCCCAAACCCTGAGAAAACAGCAGGTTCAAAAGGAGCATTTACCGAGGCATTATACTTTGTTTGGTAGCTAGTTAGGACTTCCTGTACCAAATGCAACGCAGATCCTCCAGGCAGTCCTAAAAACTGTATAAAAGGATTCACTGCTCAGGTCTCTTCTAAACGCTTCTTTGGACTTCGTCTCCTCGGTGAACTGGGTAAGTCCAATTGGACTCAATCTCTTTCCAACACAAGAGCTGTCACAGTAGGGTCCATTTTCATTTTAAGACTAACTCTTGTACATACTCTCTGTATTTTTATTAGGGACGAGGGTGTTTCTCCATTATCGTCTTTTGTAGTTATTCACTTGCAAGTGCTGGTGGATCCATGATTCGGAGCCACAGGTGGGGATTTTAGGAGCACCATATGCAATTGGGAAACATATTTCCGATTAACTGGAAATAGAATTAGGGCATTTAAATCTTTAAAGTAATATTAGAAAGTTCCTCAGCCATTTTTCTCTGGGATAGATTAGGAAGAAACTTCGCCACCTTAGGCCATAAATGGCCAATTCAGGAGGTCTTCTTTATGCTGAAGGAGCTGTGACTCCTCACTGTTGGAGCCAGGAGAATTATTAAGCTGACAACTGGTGTGATCCCATCTGGCAATTCCTACATTCTTATGAGCAGAAATGCCCACTGAAGATTCTTACACTCAGATGGTGTAATTTAGGGTCGCTCCATGGAAGTCAGTGGACCTGAACCCATTTTACCAGAGCTGAGGATCTTGTCCTTAGTGATTTCTTTGGAGAAAGGAAAAGTTTCTGTTCCTTCCTTAGCAAGTATTGGTGACTCCCAGGGTTTGGAAAACCAAAGAGCCACACTCTGACACTGGACTCAACTGGTTTGCATGCAGAGGTTGAATCCTCAAGGGAAAGGGAAAGATCAGCATTATCCCAGCCAAGTTCTCTTTGAGAAATGTCTATAACGGTCACAGCATCCCAGGTATCCTTCAAAGAAATAATTACACTTATTCCAGGCGGTGTTTTTAGACAGGTCACTGAGAGGGCTTCAAATGGGACAATTGGGAGGTACATTTAGTGTGAGTGGATAAGAGGCAAAGAAAGAGGAAATAGGAACAAATATATAGCCAAAAAGATAGGAACTAAGTCCACTCCTCCTGTCTCTCTCAGGCCCCACGTAGACCTCACTACTACGGTAACTGAGGTTTGAATCCTTTCTTTCACTGGCACATGTACCTTCTTTTTACTCTACTCCCTGTTGTGTGTTTCAGGTTTACCTCCATCACAGAAAGATGTCTTGTTCCAGCCTGTACTATCCAGAATGCGGGGTGGCCCGGCCCAGTCCAGTTTCTGGCAGCTTCAATGAGCCGTGCGTTAGGCAGTGCCCTGACTCCGAAATAGTGATCAGACCATCCCCAGTTGTCGTGACCATCCCAGGACCAATTCTCAGCAATTTCCCTCAGCAGAGTGAAGTGGCAGCTGTTGGAGCACCTGTGGTCGGAGCCGGCTATGGGGGTTCATTCGGTTTGGGGGGATTGTACGGGGGCTATGGAGGCCGTTACGGAGGATTGTATGGTTACGGGGGATTAGGTGCTTACGGGGGCCGTTATGGATTCGGGGGATTGAGTGGTTACGGGGGCCGTTATGGTGGATGGTGTGGTTACGGGGGAGGTTACGGTTATGGAGGATTATCCGGTTCCGGGGGTATCTTGCCATAGGTACCTGAGTGGAAGCTGTACACCATGTTAAACCCTGCAGGAATATCAATGGTAAAAGAAAAGACCAGGAAATGAAGAACAAGCTACAGATTCAGATGGAGATTTCAGAAGCGCTGTGCAGGCATGGCTCCACTTGAATTCAACGCGAGCTGTGTCTGCTCAGCGCCTTTGTCTCCTAGACCCATTTCTAATGTTATGCTTATAAACTCTTTCTGCCAATGCTTTCCCAACCGCGTGCTTAGTCTCTCAGTCACATGTGGACTCATTCTGAATTACACTCAGGCTGTTTGCACTAACCCCGTAGTCTGACGGAAAGAGGGGCCTTAAGACAGGCATTAGTTGTATTTATTATCACTCGAATTTGTTTGTCCAACTCTGCACCTGCGAAAAAGGAAAAACAACTTCTTGCCTCAAATGCATCGCAAGGAAGCGGGTGATCGGTCGCAGCCCTTCTGGAAACACGTGAAATACCTTCTTTCTCTTGTGTATTATTTCTTTCTGTAACTGTGTATTGCAAATTTCATTCTCATTAAAAACTATGCTGCATCGTAATATCGGTCTTCTGGCTTTCCTTGTTCCTCCCTCCTTGTTTAGAAATCCTGCTGCATGAAATTCACCCCTGTAGAGCAGGCAGCACCAGACACCTCTCAAGTTGCAACTTTCGAAGGCATGGAGTGGTAGGAGAGTAAAGCCCTTTAAGTGGTTCATAGCATTATGCAGGCTCTCTGCACAGGGGTGGAATTCTTCCTTGCATCATCTGTTTTGCAAAAAGTCTTTTCCTCCTAAGTCTTACACAGATTTTCACCTTAAGAATGTAAATATTTCCTTTCATTTCAAAAAGACCAATCACGTGCTTCATGGAAAGTGTCTGTGTGAGTCTTTGCTGGATAGCCACCCAGATTTTCGGAAGGAAAAGAATACTGGCCACCCCTAAAGACAAATGACATTACACCAAAGTCATTTGCAGCAGTCAGGAATCTCCTCTGTGATATGAAGAGATTAGTACACTGACCATTACTTCAGTACAAGAATCTAATGGTGTTTTAGGAAGCTGTTCCTCCTTGCACTCCATATTACCATTCTTATGTAAACCCCCCTGGCTGTACCATAGCTTGATATTGCAGGAACTGCGCAGAGCAAGTTTGCATTTTCTACTATGTTTTTCTTCAACATTTTCGTGGGTCTCAGTTCCCGGAAAATGAGGATTTTGCACTAATCAAATTTTTGATTTGACAACGCAAAAGAAAAAAATGTATCCAGACCATCCCGGCTCTTCAATGACATGATGTAATACTCACACAGTGAGGGGAGATTTAGCCATCTGCCACCGGGTGTTATTTAAGGGTAACACAGCTCTATTCTTCAACGTCATACCATACCTATTGACCCCTCCTTGGAAGGGAAGAACATAGGCATTGCTGCAGCAGATCAGGCCTCTCTCCCACAGTGGTGAGTGCCCGAGGCTTCACAGGGAGGTGCAAGAAACCCAGCAGAACACAGGCATGGGATCACCTGCCCCCAGAGGAACTTTTTCACTATCCCCCGTCAATCCGATCTGCCCCCACGGACGATTGGACGATGCCCTGAAGCACAAGAGTTTATATCCCTGCCAATCTTGAAGAAATGCAGTAAATCCATCTCAGTCACTATTTCCTCCAGAGTACTGTGAGCACCATTCTCTCTGCATCACCAAGAGAAATGTCTGAGGGCATCCCTCTCTGTAGAGATACACCAGGATCAATAACGAATTTAAAGCTGCAGCGTTAAAGGCCTGAATTGCACAGGAATACATCTTTTTGCCATTAAGCAATGAGCCTTTCACCCCCAGATCACAGCTTCATTGAGAACAAATACCCGAATTTCGCCAATCTCCCTCTCTAACATATTCTCAGTCCTTTCCCTCAGGAAAGCACAGTGGGATCTCCAGCAGCAGCTGACACTGGAGGTGGTGATGGGGGCGTATGTGGTGATAGAACCTTATTCCGTTATGGAGGCTTATGTAGTTGGGGGGTCCCTTTGGTTCTGGGACATGACATGGTTATCGGGATTCATATGGTTAGGAAAAAGAAAAGGAGGACTTGTGGCACCTTAGAGACTAACCAATTTATTTGAGCATAAAAGATTCTGTGGTTACAAGGCACTTTATGGTTGTGGGAGGAATATAGTGTTGCGGGGATGGTGATGGGGCCATGGGTACCTTAATGGAAACAGTGGGCTCTGTTAAACCCAGTAGGCATATGCAAAGAAAAAGGAAGAACCAGGAAATGAACAGCAAGATACAGATTGATGGTTTAGCGCATAGGCCTGTCTTTGAGAAGTCCTGAGTACATCGAACTCTTTGTGAAATAACAAAAGAGCTCCACTTGATCAGCACCTCTGCAAACATGCCGAATGTTTCCCATCATTCACAGGATGGGTCTTCTAATGCCTTCCTGGCTATGCGCTTCCACTGTTATCAACACAGTGGGCCTGATTCTCTACTGCGCTATGGGTTTTTACACCACTCTGTAAAGTGCAAAGGCAGCAGGGCCTTAAGGTGTATGGGACCGACATTTGTAGTGACTTTCCTGCCTCTTTCCAATGCCAGAGGAGTGTCACAAGACTTTAGTGTCAAGGAGAATCAGGCTAGGTTCTCTCCTATCCAGGAATAAGGAGCGTTTCTTTAAGCCTTTTAACTTTCTAACAGCAGCTGCACAACGTAGAAACTTTTTGATCTTCAGCTTTTGTTGTGTTTTCGTTACCTTGTGACAGACCAGGGTGAAACAAGGAATTAACAATGGTGGCAAACAGACTTGATTGTCAAACTCTACAGCTGTGATCTTTTAATATCTCGAAAAGCTTCCACATCGCTATGAACCACTTAAAGGGCTTTAATCTCCTACCACTCCATGCCTTCGAAAGTTGCAACTTGAGAGGTGTCTGGTGCTGCCTGCTCTACAGGGATGAATCTCATGCAGCAGGATTTCTAAACAAGGAGGGAGGAACAAGGAAAGCCAGAAGACCGATATTACGATGCAGCATAGTTTTTAATGAGAATGAAATTTGCAATACACAGTTACAGATAGAAATAATACACAAGAGAAAGAAGGTATTTCACGTGTTTCCAGAGGGGCTGCGACTGATCACCCGCTTCCTTGCGATGCATTTGAGGCGAGATGTTGTTTTTCCTTTTTCGCAGGTGCAGAGTTGGACAAACAAATTAAAGCGATAATAAATACAACTGATGCCTGTTTTAAGGCCCCTGTTTCCTTCACACTGAGGGGTAAGTGCAAACAGCCTGAGTGTAATCCAGAATGAGTCCACATGTGACTGAGAGACTAAGCACGCGGTTGGGAAAGCATTGGCAGAAAGAGTTTATAAGCATAACATTAGAAATGGGTCTAGGAGACAAAGGCGCTGAGCAGACACAGCTCGCGTTGAATTCAAGTGGAGCCATGCCTGCACAGCGCTTCTGAAATCTCCATCTGAATCTGTAGCTTGTTCTTCATTTCCTGGTCTTTTTTTTTACCATTGATATTCCTGCAAGGTTTAACATGGTGTACAGCTTCCACTCAGGTACCTATGGCAAGATACCCCGGAACCGGATAATCCTCCATAACCGTAACCTCCCCCGTAACCACACAGTCCACCATAACGGCCCCCATAACCGCACAGTCCGCCATAAGGGCCCCCGTAACCACACAATCCCCCGAAACCACCCCCATAACCATACAATCCCCCGTAACCGCACAGTCCACCATAACGGCCCCCGTAACTACTCAATCCCCCGTAACCATAACGGCCCCCATAAGCACCTAATCCCCCGTAACCATACAATCCTCCGTAACGGCCTCCATAAGCACCTAATCCCCCGTAACCATACAATCCTCCGTAACGGCCTCCATAGCCCCCGTACAATCCCCCCACACCGAATGAACCCCCGTAGCCGGCTCCGACCACAGGTGCTCCTACAGCTGCCACTTCACTCTGCTGAGGGAAAGTGCTGAGAATTGGTCCCGGGATGGTCACGACAACGGGTGATGGTCTGATGACCACTTCAGAGTCAGGGCACTGCCTAACACATGGCTCGTTCCAGCTGCCAGAAACTGGACTGGGCTGGGCCACCCCGCATTCTGGATAGCACAGGCTGGAGCAAGACATCTTTCTGTGTGCAAACCTGAAACACACAACAAAACATAAGAAGATAAGAATGGCCATACTGGGTCAGATCAAAGGTCCATCAAGCCCAGTATCCTGTCCTCTGACAGTGGCCAATGGCAGGTGCCCCAAAGGGAAAGACCAGGTTATCATCAAGTGATCCATGCCCTGTCACCCAATCCCAGCTTCTGGAAAACAGAGGACACCACTCCTGCCCATCCTGGCTCATAGCCATTGATGGACCTATCTTTCATGAATCTATCTAGCTCCCTCTTGAACCCCATTATAGTACTGGCCTTCACAACAGCCTCTGGCAAGGAGTTCCAGAGGTTGACAGGGAATAGAGTAAAGAAAAGGTACTAGTGTCAGTGGAAGAAAAGACTCAAAACTCGGTTACTCTTGCAGTGATGTCGCTGTGGGGCCCAAGAGAGAGAAGGAGTGGATTTAGTCCCTATGTTTGTGGCTGCGTATTGGTCCCTATTTCCTCTTTCTATGCCTCTTATCCACTCACAGTAAACTTCCCTCCCAACAGGCCCATTTGAACCCTTCTCAATGACTTTGTCTGAAAAACCAGTAAGAGTAACTATTTCATTGACGGACCCCCGGGATTCGGTGTCCATTATAGACATTGCTCAAAGAGAACATGGCTGGGATACTGCTATCATTGGCTTTCCTTTGAAGATTCAACCTCTGCATTCAAACCAGTTGAGTCCAGTGCCAGAATGTGGCTCTTTGGCTTTCTAAACCTTGGGAGTCACGAATACTTGCGGATGAATAAACAGAAACTTTTCTTTTCTTCAAATAAATCACTAAGGACAAGATCCTCAGCTCTGGTAAAATGGGTTCAGGTCCACTGACTTCTATGGAGCGACAATAAATTATACCATCTGAGTATAAGAATCTTCAATGGGTATTTCTCCTCATAAGAACATTGGAATTGCTAGACTGGATCACACCAGTTGTCAGCTTAATAATTCTCCTGCCTCCAATAGTGAGGAGTAACGGCTACTTCCAAATAAAGTAGAAGACCCCTAAATTGGCCATGTATGGAATAAACTGGGAAAGTTTCTTCCTAATCTAGCCAAGCAAAAAATGGCTAAGAAACTTTCTAAAATTACTTTAGGAAGATTTAAATGCCCGAAATCAATTTCCAGTTATTAGGAAATATGTTTCTCAGTTGCATTTGGTGCTCCTAAAATCCCCACCTTTGGCTTCAAATCATGGATCCACCACAACCAGCTACTGATTATCTACACAAGATAATTATGTATGGAACAACGCTCTAATCCCTGATAAAAATCACAGAGCGTACATGCAAGATTCAGTCTTAAATGGAAATGGATCCTACTGTGACACCTCTTGATGTTAGAAAGAGTTTGATTCAAATTGGACTTACCCAGTTGACCGAGGAGCTG